TCAATAAGGGCTCATAATGAAGAGACAATATTAACAGTGGGAAGGAAAGACCCTCTGCTGCCATAGCATCTGAGGGAAATGACAGCGAGTTTTAGAACTGAGCTTCCAGTATCTGTTTGAATACTCATGGACACTTCTGGAGTCACTGAATACACTTAGAAAGCTTATGTAATTTGGCCATGATAAAATTCATTATCTTATCTCCCATGCCAGGAGGCACATCAGGATTTGTCGATTTGTTCAGCAAATATTATTAAGTACTTATTATGTGCCATGTACTGACAGAGACTGGGGATAAAGTCCAAAAAGATACACTTGCAGCCTAATGGGGGAGACAGGCAACTAAACAGTTGATTAAAGTGCAGGGGAGAGAAATGTTATGAGGGCTATAAAATTGTGAATGGCAATGATGAGCTATACTCAAAATATCTAACCCACAGCGGGGAAACCATGGAGGGCTTCCTGGAAGAAGTAGTATCTAGAGAGCAAATAGAAGCTATAACTCTTATTTAGGGCTTACGCTGTGCCAGGCGCTGTTTTAAAAGCCTTATGTTTAACACATGTAAATCCCCACAACTTTAATGGTAAGTACACCGCATACTATCTCCATTTAATACATGCGGAAAATGAACACCGGGACGTGTGCAGGGTCAATAACTAGTAAGTATCAGGACCCAGCCTCCATGCTCTTAACCCCTACATGTTATTTACATGTTATATATTTAGTAAACCAAAAACCAAACCCATTGCCGCTGAGTCAATTCTGACTCATAGCGATCCTATAGAACAGAGTAGAACTGCCCCATAAGACTTCCAGTGAGCGACTGGTGGATTCGAACTGTCAACCTTTTGGTTCGCAGCTGAGCTTTTAGCCACCACGCCACCAGGGCTCCATATATTTAGTAAAAAATAAAATAATTAGAATATATTAAAAATAGTTATGACTTGATGATCTCCCTGGGATGGTACACAAGCCTAAGGGGGACACTTGGGGGACAAATGCCTTATCTGTCTGCTTACTGATTACAACAGCCTCAAATGTAAGTCGGCAAGTTTTTCTAGATTCAATAACATCCATAAGAAATATTCTAGGTATGCCATGGCTATTTTGGTTTTTAAAATTTATCATGAGCCGAAGTCACCCTAAGATAGTCACCAATTTGATTTCTTCATAAATCTTTTTTTTTAAACAACTATATGTAACTTTCTTGTCTCCATCTCCTTTCTTTTCTATTCTCTACTGAGCCATCTGACTGGCAGTAGGAAGACACGATGGGCTGAAAAGGTTAGGAAAAACCGCCCCACAGGACCCATTACAGCAATTTTCTTCATATTTTAAATGTGATCTTTCTTACATCATGAGCAACCGGGCACCGGCAGCACATCTTCGTCCAAAAGGCCTGGATATCACATATGAACGACTTTTCGGTCAAGTTCACTTTTTATCTCAGTAAAATATTTGTGTGCTTTACTTGTAACAGAAAGACAATATTTTATATCCAAACACTGTATTTCCACGGATACTACTGGACAAAGGGTTTGTGTGTGGATTGTAGCCATTCTATAGCATGATCAGTTTAGATTTTAATAAAATATCCATAGATTTGAGTTAGTTAACTCACAA